CACAGCCTCTTTCTCTTTTTTACCCAATTCACTCTTGTTTCCATCACTTGGAGTTGGTTGAGAACTATTAGTGAACTATGAGCAATTCTTCAGTGATAAAAGCAGAAGGAAGTAGTCCTGGCTAATGTTTATTTCCAAACCAAATTAAAATTTCTTTTTGGACCAGTGGCTCCAGTACACAAAGAATCTGAAATCAATGATCCGAGAGTTTGTTTGGAGGTTCTAGCCCGGAAGTGCAGCTACTTGAATACCCTTGAAGGAAGAACGAAGAATGGCCCTCTTTAATGGGAGCGGTTGTTCTTGACCGAACGCATAACTATGGGAGGGACACATATGGAGCCGTGAGGGAGGAAGGGGACACCCGCCTAGCCAGCCAGATCAGCCAAATCGACCCCGGAGATCAGTGGGGTGTCAGATCTCACAGCCGGATGGCCCTCACATCCGAAAATGATCATCTGAGTTGTGGCTATTGCCTTGACTGGATGGAGCTCTAGAACCTCACTCTCTCTTTGCATTTTCTAGCTTACCCCAAAGGAAGAAGCCCTCTTCACACCAATAGCACTCATTCTGGTCACAGCTGCCACAATTAGTGGCACATGGTTTGCATTCCAATTCTTCACTGTAGGTCTTCTCTGGACAGGTTTCATAACAATGGTGTGCAAACCTAGGGTAAGAAGATGAAGTTTCTCCATGAGAAATGTTTGTGTATCTCTCTTAACCACAATCCCTTAATCTCCTTATAGACGTCTATGCATCGTTTTTAATCATCATCGTTTAATTGCCTTACATATGTCTATGCATCATTTTTCTTTTTTTTGGAGAAGATTTCGCTATAGGGCATGTGCCTCGCCAGACAGAGAGAGACAGAAAGCGAGAATTCACCCCCCAGGGGGGATAGCCACGCCGCAATCCCTTCTCCTCCATTCTCCTCTTGGGATCTTGGGCATGCACGCACACGCGCCCGGCGTGAGTTTTAAGCCACCGAGTCCGGGACGCGAAGCGCAGTCGACTACGTGGGAGTCCAGCGACATAGCCATTACGCTAACTGCTGGTCCCTCTATGCATCATTTTTTAACAGGAGTGGATATTTGGATTTCAAGGAATAAACTTCTTCTTGGTCTGTTGTACCCTTCCAAACCAAGTCATTAACCACCTCCTTCTGGATCTCTGAAGACTGACACAGAGCAGCTAGGAAGGGGCTGGGTACTGATATTTATTCATGAAGTTCTGTGTCGAGTATTAGTTCATGTAAATCTCTGCACAAATCCTATAGGGTAGATATCATCTCTCTTTAATTTCTAGATAAGGAAATTGAAGTTCAAGGTTAAGGCTCAAAACTACATGGCTAGTTAACAGTGGGACTAGGAGTTTAACCAAAGTTTGTGTGAACAGATAGTTTGGTTTGTCACCAGGCAGCTGGTGCTTACAAAGCTTGAAACAGGTCGGTGTGGAGTTCAAGCAGCTTACCAAAGGGCCTATAGGCAGATTATTAACAATTGCAGCGCAGCGTTCATTGGTATATATATTTACTCATATTATCTATTATCCTCATCATCCAGTGAATTGTTATAATTCAGACTCCACTGAATTGTAGGTTTATTTGAAGGGGAAGTGGAATAAAGCTGACATTGCCATTTGATAAATTTCAAAAGCTCAACAAGATAACAGATATTGAACTTTATGTAAACCATATAAAACTATGTCTTAAACCTTTGCATTTCCCTAACAACTTCTACTGCACAGCATTGCATTAGGTGTATTCAGAGTTACTAAATGGTTATAAATGTGGAAGAATATTTTCTATTTTACCCTTAGTAATATTGGGGCATGTTCTAGCAATGCATTAGTTTCTCAAAGAGTTTTAGGAAACCTATTTATTACTGAGTCGTGGAGAGCTGGACAGGCTGGCAGGGCCAGCTCCAGAATTTAACAGAGGATGCTCTGAGGTGACAGGAAGTAGCTGCAGGTGAGGGGATGTGTTCCAATGTCAAAATGAAGCAGAAAACATTCAAAATAAGCATTTTTAAAAAATGAACAAGGTAATCAGGGTGGAGTTAGGCTGGAGGAAGAAAGAAAATTTCTCACCCACTTTCTACATGAACACTAATTTTAAAAAAATTGCCAGAGGGTGTATGAGCTTGCCAGAGAGAAACAGAGACAGAGACAGAGAGAGGGAGAAAGCACCTCACAATGGGATATTGTCAGATGGTGATTAATCCCTTTTCCTCCAATTTTCTGTCCTGTCAGGATTTTGTCATGTATGCACGTGAGTTTTCAAGTCACTGGGGATGAGATTCAAACCAGGCTGTCAGCCAGTTAGATCCAGGTCCCTTAAGCACTAAGCCCCAGGGCCAGCCCAATGGCCATTATTTATTTGTGTCTAAGCTTCCCTTCCTCATTTCCTCAAGGAACATATGATTTATCCTTGGCTGGAGCATCTGCCAGGCCTGATCTGCTATGTGTAGGAATCCCCATCCTTGGACTACTATCCCCGCTGTCTTGGTCGTTGGCAAAGAACGGTGATTCTCTCCTCATTGTCCTCTCATCCTGACTCGCCATGCTAGGGA